CTCACGGTGTCTCTCTATTAAAAAAATAAGTAAAATCTTTAAAAAGAAAAAGAACATGGGTCATGAATGTCTGGTTCTCTGTTGAATACATAACACATAGTAGCTGCTGAAAAAATATTCAGTCCGTGGAGACTGACACTCGGTCAGCTCCTGCCCCAGGAGTTGAAATCTACCCCCCACCCCCGCCCCTGACATCAGAGGCGGCTTCTACTCTCCTTTCTCTTTCTATCAATCTATCCACTGGAGGTACCTCATGTAAGTAGAATTCTATAGTATCTGCCCTTTCATTTCTGGCCTACGTCCCTTAACAGAATGTCTCCAAGATTCACCCATGTTGCAGCGTGTGACCATGTCCCTCCTTTGAAGGCTGAATAACTGTGCCCTGAATGGATAGATCCCACTTTATTTATCCATTTATCCATCTGTAGATGGACACCTGGGCTGCTTCACCCTTTTGGCTACTGGGGATAACGCTGCTAGGAGCCTGGGTGCGCGAATGTCTGTGGGGAGTCCCGCTTTCCGTCCTTTTGGGGATATTCCCAGAAGGGGAATTGCTAGATCACAGAGTGACTCTATTTTTAATTTTTGAAAAGGCCTCATCAAGCTGTCTTTTTTTTTTTTTTCCCTTCCTTTTCTTCCCCCACTTCCAAGAATAGCCCACTAACCTCAGTGGCCAATTCTACTCTACGTTTCCGGAAGGCCTCTGGGCCCCACGTCATTCTCTCACGAGCTGAAAAGCAATTATCCCCCCCTTTTTAAACTTCAGCTGCAGAAATCACCTGACTGAAAACTGCAGAAAAACCTTCATCCCACACAGAAACGGAAGGGCTTAACCAGCCCCGCCTGCTGGCTGATTACGGGTTTTTACGAGGATTCTCGGCATACGCTCTAGGTGCAGCTCAACCTTACTTTTTTATCAAGTGTTTGGAAACAAGTTCATAGGTTAGGATTCAGAGCCTTCACCTGGACGTGACAGCTTTCTACTCCTACCTGACAGATAAAGCAAGTTAGAACGTCATGGATCCGAATTCGGCACAACGGTAGCTTTGCCCAGACAGATCCCAGCTCCACCGGATTTCTTTTATCATTATGGTCAGTGCCCTCTAGGTAAAATGCCATCCCAAATGCAATTTCCATTCACAGTTATGGCTCCAAACCCCAACTCAGCATAGAAATAGCTGAGGTGCTTTAAAAATACATAAACACAGATAGGGAGACAGCCAACGTCCCCAGCTCCGTCCGTCTGGTCACAGTCCCCGGGGTGGAGCCTGGTCACTGGCAGCCCTTTATGTTATTTTTCTTCAAGATTTTATTTACCTCTTAGGGAGAGACAGAGAGGGCGCTCGAGCAGGGGGAAGCAGCAGAGGAGGGGGAGGGGCAGGCTCCCCACTGAGCACTGGGGGTTGATCCCAGGACTCTGAGATCATGACCAGAGCAGAAGGCAGATGCTTATGAACACAGCGAGGTACCGAGGCACTCATAGAAGCACCTGAAAGCTCCACGGATTGTCAAGTGTAGCCCGAGCTGGGCACGCCCTCCTGAAGAAGGCAGGAAGACCTGCGGTCCTTCCTTCTCTAGAAAGAATATTTTCAATGGGCTTTAACCTGACGAGAGGCACCCCTGAGCTCGGGGCGTGGAACCCCAACATTTAAACAGGAGAAGCAGGCGTTCCACAAATGGAGAGCACGGCCTTGTCTGATGGGTGGGTGCGGCTGATGCCAGTCACCCGCTGTGCAGTGGGGCACGGGGGTGCTGCTCCAGTTCAAGGCTTTTGCCAGATGGGATTCACATAGCGGATTCAAGGGGTTCAAAAAAAACCCCTCTCAACGGAAGGCAAAATTTTCTGTCCTTCAGGGTGTTTTTCTGGAAAGGGTGCCCCATAGTCTTGTCACCTCATCTCAGGTTCCGTCACACGCCCCTCACCTCCCCACATCCTCCCCTGCCCCCCACCGTGAGTAATGCAATCATTAAAAATAAATGGGGCACCCGGGTGGCTCATTGGGTTAAAGCCTCTACCTGTGGCTCAGGTCATGATCTCAGGGTCCTGGGATCGAGCCCTGAATCAGGCTGTCTGCTCAGCAGGGAGCCTGCTTCCTCCTCTCTCTCTGCCTGCTTCTCTGTCTACTTGTGATCTCTGTCTGTCAAATAAATAAATAAAATCTTTAAAAAAATAAATAAATAAAGAGCTAGGTCCATCCACATTTGCACTGACCTAGAGGGACTGGACACAGTCACCTGTTAATGAAACAAAAGCCCCTTTTTCAGGGTGGTGTCCACAGAATGATCTGCCAAGCCCCCCGAGAGCAGGGGCTGTCCATTTTGTTCCCAGCCATATTCCCAGCACCAGGAAACTGTGTCTGGCCCGGAGAAAGGGCTTCATCCCCACTTCTGGAATGAATGAGTAACTTCCCAAAAGAGCCAAATCCTCTATATGCGGACGATGTTTGTGTGAATGATGAAAAAAGCGTGAAATGAGGCATATCAGGATGTTACAGGCAGTGACCTCGGGGAGAAGGGACTGGAAGGGGGGTGAGAAAGAGAGTAACACTGCCTCTTAAGAACAGTTTGTGGTTGGGGTGCCTGAGTGGCTCAGTGGGTTAAAGCCTCTGCCTTCAGCTCAGGTCATGATCTCAGGGTCCTGGGATCAAGTCCCGCATGGGGCTCTCTGCTCAGCAGAGAGCCTGCTTCCCCCTCTCTCTCTGCCTGCCTCTCTGCTTACTTGTGATTTCTCTCTCTGTGTGTCAAATAAACAAATAAAATCCTTAAAAAAAAAAAAAAAGAATAGTTCGAGGTTACTGAGTGCTTGTCTTGCATGAGGGACGGTGCTCAGCACTGATTATATCTTGTTCTCATCTGAGCCACACAACAATCCTTCAAGACATCCTCGAGTGGTTATATCCATTGTACAGCTGAGAAAATCTAAGCACACAGATCTTGCTCAAGGCCACAAAGCCCAGACCCAGGCCCTGGCTCCACAGCCCGTGCATTTAACCCCTCTGCTTTTCTGACTCTCTGTCCAAACTCCTCTTTTGGTTGTAACACTCACTGTGACCAGCACATGCTACTTGTGTCCTAAAATCTTAAGTAAAATATAAAAGTGTCAGGGCTTTCCTTCTGGGCACTGGATGTCCCCCTGGGGTCCCTTCCTGATCTAAATGTGCAACCTTAAGTCCTTCCCTCTCAACAGGGACTTGGGAACTGATACTCCATGCTTGGATCTTATCTCGGTTCAGCAGAGTTCCCACTGCCTAATCCATACCATTTAAAGATTCAGTGGAATCACGGTCTCTGGCTTTACCTGAAACCTTGGGGACAGTGGGACCCGTGGACAGCAGCCATCCCAGGCTGCAACAGATAGGACTGTCATACCTGCTTAGGGCAGGCGGGCCCTGACTGGATGCAGACTCTCTGGGTGACAGGCCCTAAGAAAACCCAGAACCAACACGCCTCAGAGGAGTCTTGGAGCATGGAGCATTTGCAATCTTGGTAACGAGAAGCAGTAAGGCTGTGCAGAGGAAGCCTTGCATGCAAGGATTTTTTTCAGCCATGGCCTTCTTTCTCGGGAGACCAGCAGCTAAGGTGTTAAGAGTAGATCCGAACAGATTAGGCTCCCGATTACTCTGGAGCACCACTCCTCAGTGTGAGCTCAGGTCCCCCATGCCAGCACTCCCCAGATGTTTGGGGAAATGCAGACCCCCCTCATCTTTGTATCGAGGAAGACCAGAGCTTAAATCTTGACTCTACCAGTCGGAGACTGGGTGGACTGCTTAGGTTTTAAGCCTCAGTCCCCAGTCTTATAAGCCAATGAGGATGATGCAGACCTGACTGGGTGAATTACGATGCCTATTAGCAATAAGGTGAGTGAAGCCCTGCCAGGGACAGGACACAGGAAATAACCATTACTTCTATTTACTTGACCCAGTGAGAGCCAGGTTCTAAAATGGCTCCCAATGACCCCTAACTCCCAGTATTCACATCCTTTTCTAACCCCCTCCCCTGGAATATGAGCTGGACCCAGTGCGTTGCTTCTAAGGAACAGAGGAGTAAAAGTAAAAGGATGTCATTTCTAAGATTAGGTCACTACAAGACTCCAGCTTCCGTCTTGCTCAGCTGCCCACTCTGATGGAAACCATCCACCATGTTGTGAGCTGCCTCATGGAGAAGCCCACGTCATGAGAAAAAGAGGAAGGTCACCAGCCAACATCCAGGAGGGAACGGATGTCTCCAATCCAATGCACCCTCGCTGTGAGGAACTGAATCCTACCAACCACTAACTACACAAGTAAGCTTGAGGACAGATCCTCCCCCAGCTGAGCCTTAAGATAAGACCACAGCCCAGCCAATACCATGACTGCAGCCTTGGCAGAGAACCTCAGCCAGAAGCACACAGAGAAGCTGAGTCGGGGTTCTTAACCTACAGGAACCATGAGCTTAATAAATGTTGCTTTAAGTCATTATATTTGTTCCGCAGCAGTAGATAACTAATACACCCTGAAAACAATAAATTAAATTCAACCAAAGCAGCACGTGAAGCCTTTTAAAGTCCTCCTCTCCAAGTTAGGTCACGTGTTTCTCACGTTTCCCTGTAAGGCTATAAGCTACTTGAATCACCATAGCGTCTAAATGGACAGAGTGAGCACTTATTATTTTAGACTTGATTTTACTTCATTGTATAGTCTCACTGAATCTTACAAACCTATGAAGCAGGTACTGTGATTGCCCACATTCTAGAGATGAAGAAACGGAGACTTAGAGGGGCCAAGCAACATGCCCCAGGTGTCAGCAATTATGTAGAAGTGCCAGGAAATCTGGCTCTAAAATTTACATTTGTAATAATTACGCTTTATGGTTCTATGAATCTTGCCCAACTCCACAAATGGCAAGTGGATTCACACCCAGGTAGCTGAACACCAGACATGACCCTCTCCAGACACCTTCTATCTCTAGGATAGTAAGTAAACTATGTCTCACCTGGAGTCCATCAGGGTCCCACTACCTACCTGTAAACACTAAGCTGGCATTTTCAAGTTCTTCTTGGGGAACTTTGAAGCTGAAGGATTCATTGTAGAAAGGATCAATTGTGCCTCTTAAGAAGGATGTCTTCTTTGTTTTCACAAGTTTGAGTCCATGTACCAGCTGGATTTTCACAAAAGGGTCTGAGAATTGGAGACAGAATTAAAGAACGCTGGAGCTCATGAAACTCAGTCCATCCATCCAACTTCCCATCTGTCTGATAACCCAACCACCTACCTATTCTTTCTTCTCTCTTTTCTTCCCTCATTCCACCAATCTTTCCATCCATCAGTCCAGATATCCACCCCTTCTTCCATTCATCCATTATCCCATCCATCCATCCATCCATCCATTACCCATCCCTCCTTTTTCCCATCCAGCTGCTTATCTGCTCATCCCTATCTCTCTTCCTCCAACCATCCAAGACTTATTGAGCTCCTCCCATGTGTCAGGCACTGTGTTCATTTTACAGATGAAGACACTGAAGACTCAAGACAGGAAATGGTCTGCTTAAGATCAGACTAGTGGAAGAAAATCCAGACCCAGAGCCTGCCCTGGTTTTTTTGTCCCTAGAAATCCATTATCATGTCAGTGAGCCCATAACTCCATACACGGGAGTATAGAGATGACAGATTAATGACTATCATTCTTAGATCGCTTTACAGTTACAAAGAGATTCATGCACACTATCTAATTTAATATTTGTCTAAACAATTCCATGAGATGGATACTGTTGTTATCTCAATTTTTCAGATGGAGAAATTGAGGCTTAGGGAGATTAAGTATCTTCCCCAAGGCCACATCATTTGTGAGTAGTAGAACGAGGACTTGGTTCCAGGCAGTTTGACTCCAGAACCTTTTATCATTTGATTCTATTGCTTCCCCCATCGTGGTGAGTCTGAAACTCTCCAGCCTTAACATCATTCCCTCCACTGACCCCTCCCAAATCTCTATTTTTATAATGTGGTTTCTGAGAATGCAAGTTGTCTTCTAGAGGCAGCTGTCACTTTATAGCAAAAGTAATTTATTTTGGCTACTGTCCTTAGAGGAGACAGTGGTTTCTCCAAGGAGCTGAAGAGGTCCCAGAGACCCTGGCTACTTTCAGGATAATATCCTTTGCTGTCATGGGAGAAGCTCCATACAGATGGAATGTAATCTGTTCCATTTCATGAAAAGTCATCTTTGAATTGGTTTACTATAAAGTAGACATTTTAAATACAACAGTCTTTTCAGAGCTGGGATTTATAAAGATTCAAGGTACACTTGAAATGAGCTGGTGGGGGGAAAAAAAACACCTCAGGGCCTGTCCACTGCTCTGGCAAATGGGAATGGGTGGTCGGTGCACACTGGCGCCACCCGGAGCCTGACATCTCCATTGCAGGCACAGCAGCTGGAAGGGCGGGTCCCTTCCTTGGGGGCTTCGTGTGTGCAGAGGATCTGGAGGTCAGTACTGACCACACATGGTCTCAGTCAAATCCCCCATTCAAATGGGGTTACTGAGACACCATCATTTACCTGCCTCACCCTAAGAGATATCTGATCATTTATTTTCCCTCTTGATCCAACATCCTAGTTCTAAATGCTATCTGTTTATCCTTGCGGGGTTTTAGTAATAGTATCCGGAATGCAGAAAAAAAAAATTTGGCCCTGGGTCAAACAAACACAGATGCCTCGTTAAGGAAATGGGGGAAGAAGGGGGTCGCACTGTACCTGAACCTTGGCTCACATCTGTCTGAAGAAGTTGCTTGGCTCGAATGACATCAACATTCAGTCTCCCAGCGCTCGGGAGGTAATTCAGTGACAGAAGCAACTCCCCCAGCTCTACTTCATTCTGCAGAGAAAGGACATGGTCAGGAAGTTGCTTTTTTCTTGTATTCCTTCTTGTACCTACTGGGCAGGAAAGTGACTCCAGCAGGTCACACATGGGCTTCTATAGGTAGATCAGTTGACAATGGGTACCTCTTTCTTTGACTTCTTTTAGCCTCTGCCCCCAGTTATCCCATCTATCTCAGAAAGTTCTTGGGGCACGCAGGTGGCTCAATCGGTTAGGTGCGCAACTCTTGGTTTTCGCTCAGGTCATGATCTCCCTTTCGTGAGATCGAGCCCCACGTTGGGCTCTGTGGTCAGTGCAGAGTCCACTCCAGACTCTCTCCCTCTTCCTCTGCCCACCCCCTGCTCATGCTCTCTCTCTCTCAAATGGGTAAATTAAAAAATCTTTAAAGAAAAAGTTCTTCCAGGACGCCTGGGTGGCTCAGTTGGTTAAGCAGCTGCCTTCGGCTCAGGTCATGATCCCAGCGTCCTGGGATCGAGTCCCACATCGGGCTCCTTGCTCATCAGGGAGCCTGCTTCTCCCTCTGCCTCTGCCTGCCATTCTGTCTGCCTGTGCTTGCTCTCTCTCCCTCTCTCTCTCTGACAATAATTAAATAAAATCTTTAAAAAAAAAAAAAAGAAAAAGTTCTTCCTGTTCTTGGAATGCTTAACAGCAGCAACAACATACTAACAACAAAACTTGCATAATGATAACACAGAAATGTGACACGTCAAGTTCTGTGCTCAGCACTTTATATATAATAACTAGTTCAATCTTCATAATAAATCTGTAAGATGTTAGAATTACTCTTATTTAATGATAAAACTGAAGATCAGAGCAGTGAAATGATATGTCCAAGGCCACACAGCCAGAAAAAGTGGTAGCCCTTGCATTTGGACCCAGGGAGGCTGATTCCAGATAATCTGACCATTATCCTCTTCTGCCTCCAGGCAGGATAAACTGGGAGGGGGAGAACTGGGGGTCAGAACACCCTGCAGGGCAACTATGTGGCTGAGAAATCTGTTCTCAACCTGCAGTCCACAACAGAGCCCATGCTTCCTGTCTCACTGCACCAACACTCAGCCTGTGACACCGCTTGTTAAAAAATACTCATTCCGTGGCTCAGGTCATGATCCCAGGGTCCTGGGATCGAGCCTCACATCGGGCTCCCTGCTCAGCAGAAGGCCTGCTTCTCCATCTCCCTCTGCCCCTCCTTGTGTTCCCTCTCTCGCTGTGTCTCTGTCAAATAAATAAGTAAAATCTTTAAAAAAAAAAAATACCCATTCCCTGGATAACAACACTACCACACTGGTGGGAAATTCACCCAGGGCATGATTCCTTCCACACTTCTAAAAGTACCACGAAAACATGAGGCCCCCACTTCTTTGTCCCATTTTTATTATTTATTTATTAAAAGATTTTATTTATTTATGACAGAGGGAGATAGTGAGAGAGGGAACATAAGCAGAGGGGAGCCGGAGAGGGAGAAGCAGGCTCCCCGCCAAGCAGGGAGCCTGACATGGGACTTGATCCTAGCACAGCGAGACCATGACCAGAGTTGAAGGCAGATGCTTAATGGCTGAGCCACCCAGGTGTCCCTCTGACCCATTAAAAAAAATTATTGTAAAAACTTGCAACCACATACAAATTACACAGGGCACTGTAACAAATCTCCATATACTCACCACCCAGTGGTAACAATGATCAGAATCCTTATTTTGCTAAAGGCTGCTTCATTGTGTCTTAGTCTGTACTTGTCTTGGTTCGAATAACAAAAATACCATAGACTGGGTGGCTTATAAACATAGTTCTGGAGGCTAGGAGTCCAAGATTAGGGTGCCAGCATGGTTGGGTGAGGGCTATCTTCTGGGTAACAAACTTCTCATTGTGTCCTCATTTGGTGGAAGGGACTAGGGACCATTGTGGGGCCTTGTACGTAAGGCACTAATAACCCCACTCAGGGGGGCCCCACCTTCGTGACCTAATCACCTCCCAAAAGCCCTATCTTGCAACACCATCACACTGGACGTTAGGATTCTAACATACGAACTTTGAGGAGACACAAACCTTCAGACCACAGCATATCTACACACTGACTTGCAAAAAATTTTAGTTGAGTATTTTAAACCATGTCCCAGACATGATGTCATTTTACCTGTATATCCTTCAGGTTGTATCTCCAAATGGTAAGGACATTAAAACAAGTATTTTTAGCATGGGACATTTCCAATCATATTCAAAAGAAAGCACAGAAGTACAAGGAAACTCACTCAGATTCAATAATTATAATCTCACAGCCAATCTTGATTTACTTATACCCTCATTCAACTCCCCATACCATTGTGAAGTAATACCCAGACATAAAATTTTTCTGTAATATTATATATATATAAATATATGTGTATCTGTGTGTGTGTGTATATATATAAAATATCTGATTGATCTATGTATTTACCCAACCATCCACCAGCTATTCAGTCTTTGTCCACCCATCCATCCATCCACCCATCCACCACCCATCCATCTACCCATCCATTCATCCTTTCTTCCTCTATCCATCCATCCATCCATCCATCCATCCATCCACCCACCCACCCATAATCTCTATCCATCCCTTTCGTTATCAGTCATTCCAGCAAATTTATGCCAAGTGGCAGCTCTAGAACTTGGCACACAGTGGATACTCAACAAACATGGGTTGACTAGATCCCCAGTCAAACCAAAAGATTTCTGTACTGAGTGAGCTAGTCCCCAAACAAGAAACAATCTCATACATTAACTCAGAGGTTGCAAACTATCAGCCCGTAGATGTGTTTTATTTGGCCCATGTCAAGCTTAAATGTAATTACCTGATAATTATTTAAAAATTCAAGAATCAAGATATCTCACAAGTTCAAAAAAAAAAAAAAAATCTAGATTTCCTGCCTTGCTTGAAAAACAAGAAGGTCCAGCAAGGCTGGGCCCACATTCCTACCTGGCAACATCTGGTCGGAGCACAGCGTCCCCTTAAGATGGGAACTGCCTCCTTCATTTCATTAGGTCCCCATTTATCCTTCACTGCTTTACATATGAGCTCACAGGTTTTTCAAGACAAAAATGGTGAACTCAGTGTCCTGAGCGATCGAGGAAATTCCAAGCCCCTATACACAGTTTCTAGGGGTTTCCCCCTTGTTCGTGAAGGCCTGGAAGATGCTGTATCCTCAGGGCCTGACCCTGAAGACATATTTAACCTGAGACAAGAAATACTGAGAATTCAGCTGGCTCCTTCCTATCCTTGTGGAGTTAGCGCAAAGCCTTCCCTGCTTCTACAACTAACCTGTGGCTCATCTCATGATATAGCTTCACAGGTAAAGATCCTAACTTGTAATTCAGTCTGCAGACCTGGTGAAAAACGGATTTGGCCAATCTAGTGTCATCAAGGGTAGTTCAGGTAGAGATGGACCCAACTGAGAACAAAACAATGTGGCAGGAAAAAAAACAAAAAACAAAAAAACAAAAAAAAAAACAATACGGCAGGAAATCAGCCTACAGACATAGACCAGTGGTTCTCAAACTGGGAAAATTTTGCCGCCACCACCCTCAATGTCTAAAGACATTTCAGATGCAGAACTGAGATGGGGGATGCTACTGGGATCTAGTGGGTAGAGGCTAGGGATGTGGTTCAACATCCTCCAACACAAGACAGCACCCCCCCGACCCCCGAAACAAAGGATGATCCAGCCCAAAATGGCCACAGCATTGATTGAGAGACAAGGGACAGAAGAGAGAAAGGGGGGGTAGATATCTCTTTTACAATAGCAAAAAAAAGTTGATATCCGTTGACTCAGTATTTCCATTTCCAGGAATTTACCCCACTGACATACCTCACTGCACGTCACAATGTGAACACAAGAATAAAAAATACAGGATCATGACCTTGACAGAGTGACTGTGGACCGTGACGTGCAAGGACTGGGGAGCAAATAGCCCTGCCTTCATGGAACATACACTCTGGCGGGGGAGACAGAGAGTAAACAGACTGAAAGAGACACAAACAAGGTGATTTCAGATACGACCGAGTACTAGGGAGAAAAATCCAGCAGGGGAAGGGAAATGAGGGTCCTTTCTGGGGTGAGGGAAATATCTGTATCTTGATAATGGAGGCAGTAACATGGGTACATTTGCCAAAGATCAACTATTTAAAATGCACAAATGTATTGTAAGCAAATTATACCTTAATAAAGTTGATAAAAAGGGGGGGATTTGACATAAGCAAATAGGGCAGAATATTATTAGCACTTGTCAAATCTGGGAGATGGGCCCCTGGGGGTTTATCACTTTATGTTAGAAATATTTCATTTAAAAACATATTAAACATTTAAAACATGTTTAAAAAAATAAATATTAAAAAAGCAAGCACAAAAACTTAGGGTAACAGAATGGTGACTGATAAGGTGCGCTCAGGGGCTGCCATGTCTGCCGCCGTGGTCAGGCAAGGCCTCCCTGAGGCCAGCTACCAGCTCTCATCGCCTAAGGGGGCCCTCAAGCCCTTTCCAGAGTGGAGAGAGTTGGGCCACTGACCAACCTTCAACGAGACAGCTGGTGTCATCCCCAATTTTTCTCTTTCTGAGAAGATTGTTTTTTCATCTCAAAAAAAAAAAGGGGGGTTGGAAGTTCTTTTCTTCCTCCTTCCCTTTGAGGGATACAAGCGGCTGCTCTCTCCGCCCCACCCCAACCCCAACACAAGCCTATGGAGGTCTGCATGATGTATTTTTCCAAGGGAAGTTGTCCCATTGACCCAGTCCTTCTTTTCGTCTGCCTCGCTTTGGGAATGATCAATCTGCAAGACAATCGTTTGTTCCTCAGGGAACGGTTGGTAGAAATAAAAAAAGAGGGCTAACTCAGCAATATCCAAAGGTTCGCTGCTTTTTTAAACAAACATTTATTCTACAGTGACTCAGTCCTAGGCACCGGGACCCCACAATCATCATAATTATGGCAAACTTTACTGCGAAATCGCCCTAGACCAGGCACTGGTTCTG